GAGAGCGAGCGAGCGAGCGAGAGAGAGAGAGAGAGAGAGAGAGAGAGAGAGAGAGAGAGAGAGAGAGAGAGAGCGCTTGAAATGGGAATCAGAAGACATGGTTCAAGACCTGGATCTGATCTGCCTGCCATGGATTGGCTGTGTGACCTTGGGTAAGGCTCTTGCCCTGTTTAGGCTTCAGTTTCTTCAATAGAGGCATATAAGGGGTTTGAGACTGAACTAGATCAGGAGCTCTTAACATGGGATTCATGGGGTCTGTGGACTTGGATGAGGAAAATGGTACTTTTTAATGATCTGCAACAAAACTTTAGCATTTCCTTCAATTATGAATTTTGACAAAAAAATTCTGAGGAGTCTTTTAGGATTTGCCAGACTTCCAAAGGGTTTCATGATATGAAAAAAGGTTAAGAACTCTTGGCCTGGCTGGTTTCTAAGATGCTTTGAACAATAATGGTCTCTGAAGAGCCTTGTGTGTATGTATGTGTGTGTACAATGTACACACACATATACACACACACATACATACACGCATATATTTGTGTGTGTGTATTGTGTGTATGCAATTTAGATAGATAACAGACAGACAGACAGACAGATAGATATAGATAGATAGATAGATAGATAGATAGATAGATAGATAGATAGACATGCAAACAATTTGTCTATTCTCCTGTTCACAGAATATGACTAAAACTCAGAAAAGTGTGTTATGAGGCATCTTGGCTGTCCTGTGGGTCCCGTCCTGGTGTCATGCATAGCATCTCCCTATGACCCAGGAGAGACATTTCATTGGCCCTCAGCTGGCCTTTTCTTCTTTACTCAGTCTCTTACGTGGTTCACACTGCAGAGTTTTGGGGGAGAATGGGGGAAAGGTTCCTCTGTCTAATGTAAGCCAAGAGCAAGAAAGGGGAGCCCTTGCCCAGGCTAAGAGAATTCATCCTGCTGGAAGAGACTTCAGAATCTATCTTGTCCAAACTTCTCATTTTACAGAGAAGGAAGCTGAGATCCAAAGAGGGCAAGGACTTGCTCCAGGTCATATAGTTAACAGCAGGGCAGGACTAGAAGTCAGGTTTTTTTTTCCTCTACCACTCTACTTTTGAGAGGGTCAGTCTCACGAGCAGTTGTGGGCAGCTAGGTATCATGGTGGATAGAGAGGTGGGCCAGGAGTCAGGAAGACCTGAGTTTAAATCCAGCCTCAGATACTTCTTAGCTGTGTGACCCTCAGCAAGTTACTTAATTTCTGTTTATCTGTTTCTTCATCTGTAAAATGGGTTCCACAATTGCACCTAACTCATAAGGTTGTTGTGAGAATCAAATGGTATGTGCCTGGTACATAACAAGCTTTATATAAATTTTAGTTGTTATTTTTTTTATTATTGGCCAGTTAAAGCCTTGGTGGCATTGGTAGGGACAAAATGAGAGTGTTCCCACCCCCAGCAAAAAATAAAAATCAGCTGGGACTGGGAACAACACCAGCAGAGCTAGTTCCCTTCCACCCCTGAGTCATTTCTTTATCTGGTGTCTCAGGATAGACCACCCTAATAAGACTAAGGTCTTGATACCTTAGTAGGATTATTTCTTTAGGAGAGCTACCTAAGATCTAGCTAGATCTCCATGCTCATGGGGATGATCTAGCTCCCTTTGGGACATCAGAGAAGACATGTAGATCCTGTTGCAGCTTCTGTTTTTTGATGAGCTAAGAGGGTGGAACAGCCTCATGTCCCTATATCCAGGGATCACAAAGGACTTTCAGTAGTTTTATTTTCTCTTCTCCCTGGCCACTCCCAAAATGTTATTGCAAGGGTAATTTTATGCTTTCCCTTCTATCTACCCTCCTCCTAATTCCTCTGTCCTCCATTTCCTGGCCTAGTCCCTAAGCATTTCCCCTGTCCCAATATCCTTCTGTCCATACCTTCCCTCTTCTGAAAGTATCTCTTCCAAAAGCCACCTATCTAACTACCCCTGCACCCCAATCCCCCCGCTCCCACACCTTTAGGGCCTGCTGATTTCTTCTGTTCATCACTTCCTTCCTGCCACAATCTCTCCTTTCATTCTTGCCCTGTACACTGGCAATTTTATTATTGGAAAATCAGGCCTTTCCTCTCCTTCCGCAAGATAGCCCTGTTACATATCTATGCTGAGCCTGAAGTCTTTGGAAATACCCAAGTTACAATCAAAAGGGGGGGGAGGGGCTTTGAGGTGAACTCCTCCCTTAAGAGAAGGAATCCCCCACTTGAGTGTTCTGTCCTGGGGCTTAGAGGACATTGGGGGGCACCTAGTTGGTGCCCATGGGAAGGCACCTTTGCCCTCTCTAAGTAATCCTTTCTTCTGTTTAGTACTTAGCACCATACCTGGCACATGGTATTAATACTTGTTGACTCACTTGTTCACCTCCGTCCTTTCGTTCTGCCTAGAAGAGAGTGAGGGTGGCTTCCTTTCCTCAGAACACTCGACCCTTTTATGGGAGGTCTTGACTGCAACTTTCCGGCTGCTGCTGCCTCTCTGCCCTTCCCTCTTTTCTCTGGGGCCCCATTTTCCAGTGACTGCCCTAGGAAACCAGCCGCTCTTTTCGGAAGAACTGAGCTGGATAAAGACAAAACATCCTTTGGTCCCTACTGGAAGATGCTGCGGAAAAACAGTTTTTTGTCTTTTAAAGCAAGCTTTTGGTTGATGCCCTCATGAGAGGTGTAGGGACTTTTCTCTTTCTTAGCTTCTTGTCCTCTCTCCCCTTCCCTCCCTGGTAAAGTCAGAACCTCCATTTCAGGCAGAATAGACTCCCTCCCCTCTCCTTTTCCATTTACGACAAGCCCCAGAAGACTGAAGCGGCTAGCGGCCCTCTCTCTCTCCCAAAGGCCCATCTTCTGTGTTCCGACAAGGAGGAATTAAGTAGTGAGGAAAATGCGAAGGATGAATGGATATAGACCCATCGGATGTGTATAAGAAAATGAAAAATTTGTTTTTCAGATGTTGGGGGGCCTGCTCCTGCTAGACAGCTGGCAAGAGAGAGAAATTGGAAATGAGGAAGAGATCAAACCATTTAAATGAAGAAAATTAATCCACACACGAGCCTAGCCCCAGTCGGGTGACAGATCCTCGTATTTGTCTACTGTAGTCCTACCGCTTTGTCTCTGTCTAAAAGGTCATTAAACTCGTCTAACTGCGCAATTCCTATCTTCGCGGGGGTGCGGTTCCCTCACAGACTTCTTTCATTTACCACAGAGAAGCACTTGAAAAAAAATTTATTATCTCCACTAATAAACAAGGTGCTTTCATTAACCCTTCCGGGGGCACTCCCCTCCCTTACGGGCCCTGCTTCTCCGCTACAGAAAACCTGGAGTTTGGCTCTTGCCCCTAGCAGAGTCCGCATCCACTCTCCTTTGAGGGACACCTGCTGCCGACCCTGCACCAGCTCCCAAAGCCCTGCTTGGGGGGGGGGGGCGAAGGGGCTGGAAGGGCATGGTGCTAGCTGGGGAGTGTGAGGATGATGCTGGACCGACTGCCTTAGATCTCCCGATTCTTCGAGTCGGGGTTCAGTACCCACCCACTGCTTCGCGAGATAAACAGATATTCTGTATTTGGCCTGGTTTCCAGAGCTTTGAGAGCTGGGTTATACCCCTCTCTGGACTCCAACCCCGACGGCTCTCCTACTGTAAATGGGCATCCCTCTGGGCATCCATCCCTACCCTCTAGTCCTTTTCTTCTTGCCCCCGCCTTGTCTGCACTTTACTCAGAGTTTTGGAGGGACCTGGGCCAGTCATAGAGCAGTCTGGCGTCGGAACTGAGAGTTAGGGATTTGGGCCCCCAGTCTTTCCCGCTCCCACCCTGCAGATCTCCTCCCTCTTGTCCCACTCTCCTTCGGCCTTGCAAAGGAAGGAGAGTTGCTCCCCAGAAACCGCCTTCTGAAGCTGAGGTCCTCTGGCCAAGCCCAGGCCCTGGGCTCTCCCAGCCAAGAGGACGAGGTGGGAAGGACAGGAAAAAAGCAAAGGGGCCTGGGAGAGGGAGGAGAAGCAGAAAAAGAGAGGCCAGCTCTAGGCGGCCTCTACATTCAGCCTATGGCCCTGCTCCTCTACGCGGCCTGACTAGATCCACTCAATCACCGCAGTGCTCTCTTGCAGGTGTGAGCTTGTAGGCATGTGCTTCGGGTGAGTGTGAATTGTGTGTGTACGGATGGGTGTAAGCGACTGTGTGCGCGCTCATTTGCATGTGTGTGAGTAGGGGTACGTATGTGAGCAGGTGTGTGTGTGTGTGTGTGTGAGAGAGAGAGAGAGAAAGAGAGAGACAGAGAGAGAGAGAGAGAGTGAGAGAGAGAGAGAGAGAGAGAGAGAGAGAGAGAGAGAGAGAGAGAGAGAGAGAGAGGATGTGCATGTATGAAAGCGTTATGTGTACGTGTGTGTAAAAGAGCGTGTTCTAGTGTGCACGAGTGTGAGAGCGCTGGTGTGTGTGTGTGCGTGCGTGCGCGTGTCACTCCACTCCGGGGCTTTGTGCAAGCCCGGGCGATAGCATCAGCGGCGAGGAGGAGGGGACAGAGAGACGCGTGCAGCCCGCCCGCCAGCCCGGCAGCCGGTGCAGGTGGGAGTACGCGCCGGAGTCGGAGCCGGAGCTGGAGCTGGAGTCGGAGCCCGAGCCCGAGCCCGAGCCCGAGCCCGAGCCGGAGCCCGAGCCGGAGCCGGAGCTAGAGCCGGAGCCAGAGCCCGAGCCAGAGCCCGAGCCGAGACGGGCGTCTAGGCTGGGGAAGAGCGCAGCGGAGAGCCTCGCCTAGAAGGGAGCTCGGGTTGGGTCGGGGTCGGAATCAGGGTCGCCAGAGGGCGCGGAACCCGGCACCACTTGCGCAGCTGGCTGGCTAGCGGGCGGGCGCTGGCGGGCGGGCTTCCCAGTAAGATGTGCAGAGCGCAGCGGGGCGCTACTGACTCTCAGCCCCGCTCCGGACCCGGGCTCGGTGGCCAGGAGGCGGCGGCTACGGCCGCCGTGGTGGAGACCGTGAAGGCGGCGGCGGCGGCGGCGGCGGCGGAGGCTCCCGGGCTGCGCGCCGGCTGGTAGAGCGGCCGCCCCAGGGAGCGGAACAGCCCGCCACGGCCGCGCCCCGGGGAGGCTCGGCGCCCAACGATGACCCGTCCCTGGCGGCGTCTCCAGAGTCTGGTTTGGGAATACTGGGCCGGGCTCCTGGTTTGCGTGCTCTGGATTCAGGACTCTCGGGGAATGCCCCATGTCATCCGAATAGGTAAGGGTTCCGCTGGGCGCTCCCGTCAGCCCGCTCCCTCCCTGAATCCCTGCTTTCTTCCCTGCGCCCGGGCAAATTCGGCCACCCACCCACTCCCCAGCTTGGCTGAAGCCCCTTGGTTTGTACTGCTGTTCCTTGGGGCGGGGCGGACAGGGACAGGCAGGACTGGTGTGGGGGTGGCCAAACTGTCTCTGGGCCCTCTATCCCCATCATTTCCGCCCCGATTCAAGCCTAGGGGACTCTCTCTTTCCATTCCTGCAAGCCGGGTCCGTGCTCAGGAGCTGTTTTCTCCCTGTCTCCCAATCTCCTTCAGGAATTAAGTCCCCCCAACCTGGCTCCTTGTCCACACTTCTCCTGACCCTGGAGGGGGCTCAGGCGGACCAGAGGCTCAGGGGTGGGGTGTGTGTGTGTGTGTGTGTGTGTGTGTGTGTGTGTGTGTGTGTGAGTGAAAAGCCCCAAATCCGACTCCCTCCTCACCTTCGGTACTTGGGTCTCTTGGCAGGGTTAGGGGCAGCAAGGGGACGACCTTCAAGGCTGGAATCCAGGCGATGGGCAAGGAGTGGGGATCAGGCTTGGAGCCATGGAGATGGAGCTGGGCGGAGGTGGGGGGGGTCGGGGGTGCAGCAAACTTCAGGCTCCTGCATGCTGGGCCGTTCACTTCCGCAGGCTTTTTTTTTTTCTCAGTGGCCGCCCCGAGCCTTACTGGGCCTGAGGAACATGAGCGAGAGACACCCCAATGGGGACCTGACTATTTTGGGACCTGGGCTTTCAGGCTTCCCGCGGGGCAGGGCTTGCATCCGGAATCCCGCACCTCGGGGCACAGCTCGGCCAGAGGTTCTCCTGATAGAAAGCGATCCTCTCAGTCTTGCTTAGCGTCCCCCCAGAGCTCTCCTCCATGGTTGAGGAAGCATGGTGCGGACTAAGGGAGGAAAATCTCAAGTGGAGGGCATATTTCGATTTTTTTAAGTTACCACAAACTGGCCGAACAGCTTCTGGATTGCAGCTATAACCAGCCTGGTGGAGAGCTGGAGCTGACTATTCCTCCTATTTGTTTCTAACAGAGGCAGTAACTCGGGGAATCCAACTTTGTTTTCCATCTCAGCCGCCCGCTGGCCTGTCGTGGGTAGCTCTGGCTTTTTGTGTCTGTATGAGGGGTAAATGGTGCAGTGTGTAAAGGAGGAGGGGTAGAGTGGTCGCCCCGCTGGGCGCCGGTGTTGCCCCAGGTCCTCTGGGGAACGGAAAATTCTCAATATGAGGTATGGCTCTGCAGGGCTCTCTGACTCGGTTAGTGTAAGAGCCTATTTATTCCCCTTATATCCTTCAGAACAACATGAGAGGGAAAACTGAGGTCCCATAGGAATCATCTGCAAGCCCCCCTTCCTTTTTATAAGTACCAAGGAGGGGGTCTCCTTCAGCCTTGGTGAGTCTGGGCTCTGCCTTGGGCCGCCGCTCGCCATTCTGCATGCACTAGATTGGGAGTAGAGGGAGAGAATACTGTCTCTGTTTGAAGATTGGGCTTTTAAGCCAGCCAAAATCTATGTCTTTGGACCTCACAGAAGCTTTTTCTTGGAGTTTTTCTGTCTTCCTCCTCCCTTGCTCCCACCCTAGGTCAAGGGACCCCTTTCTAATGTTATGGAACCTATTAAGCACATCTAGGCAGTGGGCAGCCCACAAGTCCTATCTCTTGAAACTGGGGCCTTTCTCTGGGCTTATTTTGAGGGGTGTGTTCAATTCAGAGGCAAGGAAGGCAGTAGGGTCTTACATCTCATATAACACTTTCCCTTTGCCTCCTCTTTCCCCACTTCAGAGTTAACCATTTGAAGCCCTTGGGTGAATGTTACTTGGTCATTAAGGATTTTTCCTCCTCCCTCTGTTACCTTCCCCTACTCCACCACAACTCCCTACTATCCCCAGGACTTACTCTGCTATCTGGGGAAAGGTTCCCCTTCTTTTTCATCCTTTTTTGAGTGTAGGTCAAAGGCCTGCAGACCATATGCAGTAGGGTGCCCTTGGAGAGGCTGGGAAAGGAAAATATGCAGGGGGTGAGGGTAAGGGTGGGGAGAATCCTTGTAGGTGCCCATGGGGCCTCTGAGGCCAACTCACGCATTGCAGATACCACTGTCTTTCCCATGTTCCCCTCTGTATATGTGTGTGTGGGGTGGGGAAAGGTGATGATGGGGGGGGGATAGATATTGAACAGACCTCTGAGTCTATGTGTTGTTTTTGACTATGGTCTCAGCCCATCTTCAGTGACCCTTTGGGAGATAACCTAAACTTGAGGATTGTAGTTCTCTGTAGGATGGGCATGCATGTGTTCTTGGGGAGTGCCATAGTACAACTGAAGTCCCAGGGACTTGGGGGGGGCAGAGGATGAAGTTAGTGAGTTACTAGCCAGCAAACCTTCACCAAGCATGGTAAATTGATTATCAGAGGATATTCCTCCCCTTGTAACTAAGATGGCTAATGGGGTCAGGGGCTCACCATTGAAAGGTGGCACATCGCCCAGGCCCACCAGCCTGCCTCCCCCTCCCTGGGGCTCACTATGTAATAGCATAATTAAAGGAGGGCAAAGCACTGGCTTCTCTAATCTTCTTCATATTAAAGCCCGGGATTAATTATCATGTGTCAGACCTGGCCATTCATATCCCAGGCACCCTGGTCCCATTTTATTCTCAGGGTAGAGCAGACAGCTGTGTAGATGCCAAATGTGACTGCCAGTGAGGGTGCCAACCCTGAAAAGAAGAGGCAGGGGTTGGGGTAGCATTCTTAGCTCCCTGGAACATTCCCCTGAGAGGGCTGAGTCTGCCAAACTACCCCTACACCAGCTATGATGGCCTTTTCAAAGAGGGAGAGAACTATGCTCAACCTATACCCCATCAGCACCATCCCCAAGCGGAGTTCTCCTCAGCACCCTACTCCAGGGACCTCATTGTCAGGATACGTGTCATTACTAGATGGGTCAGAAGGGAGAGGGGTCTGGTGCTGAGGTGGAGACACGGAGTGCAGGTCCTGCTAACAGTCCCTGTTTATTGCCGAGTCCTATATTGCCACTTGCTGCCTTCACACTCAGGGCTTTGTTTGTTTGTTTGTTTGTTTGTTTTCTTCAAGTTGGGGACACTGAAGGAAGCTTTCTCTGCAGGTGTGGGGGAAGAGGGGGATTTTGGACTTGAAGAGGGGCAGTTTTTACCTTTCTGTTTATTGGCCTCTTTGAGGGCTTAAATTTCCGTTCAGACAGGGAGCCCGGGAGGGAGCCCAGCCGCGTGACGGAGTGTTTGAACAATCTATCTTGAATAGATGAATTGCTCTGCTCTGTCTTTTTGTAATTGCGTCTATCAGAGGAAGAGGTCAAGGCATTGATTGCTTGGATGGGTGGCAAGTAAGAAAGGAGAGCGATCGAGGGAGGAAGAGAGAGGGGGAGAGAATAATTGGATTGTAGCCCAAGGAGAAAAAAAACACCGTTGATTATTTCATATGAATATATGGGAAATGTATTCTCTGTGTGATTACCAATGTTGCTCTTTGAAGGTTTACAATGCATATTGTAGGGTATTATTATAGCCGTCATTGTTGTTCAAATGAATCTGGTCTTAATTTATTGCAAGTTATAAAGGATGGGCTGATCAGTCAAAAGCGTTTCAATGATGTGTTGTAGGGATCAGAATTTCCTGGTGATGTCACCTTCTAGGTCTAAAATTCTACGGTCCCTTCTAGGTCTAAAATTCTATGAATGATACAGTTGGAAAGTCTATTGGGAAGAGTCCTGGATGGGGTATCAGTTCTTCTACTGGCATTGTGTGACCTTGGGACAATCTTTTTTTCCTCCCTGGCCCTCAGTTTCCAGTTACATAAAATGAGAAGGTTGGACTAGTTGGTTTCTAAGGTCCCTTTCCATTTATTGTGTTGCAATGGAAAGATTTCTGGATTTAAATTCTGATTACCTGGGTTCAAATATTGCCTCTGCTTGTCTGTCTATGTGAATTTGGGCAAATTATTACTTAACCTTTTTGGGTCTCAGTTTCCTCCATTGGATTAGATGACCCCTGAGATCCTTTCCAGTTCTAAATGTATGATGGTATGTTGTTCTGTGATTTCCATGATTCTTTGCAGTTGAAACCCAGAGACAATTTTGATATGAGAGGGATAAAGTGTTGAGCTATGCAGTCTGGTATTGAGATGGAAAGATATGATTTCAAGGCAGAAGGCATGGAAGGCCAGGAATGATGTCCCGATATCCCTGTGGGTGATAAAAACTTTGAATGGAGCCAGGGCAAAGGAGAAAGTCCACTGCTGAGTCCAGCAGAGCTAGGCAGCTGATGGAGAGCCCAGCTTGACTGCTTCCCCTAAAATACTGACAAGGAGCAAGGATCTAGCAGTAAAGACCCTGGCTGATGGGTCATGAGCTTCCTGAATGTATATGGGGTCCCTGAGCAAAATCCACAGCTACTCGAGTATTCATAGTCCAGGAGAGGGGGCTTCCCCCAGGACCTTGAAGAGGTCTGCAGCTCTTCATGTCAGTTCAGCCAAATGGTCCTGAACAACTGTCTTTGAGTTTGGGAGCTGCTGCGAATGAAACAATGAGAAATTTCTGGCGGTGACCGGTGATGCGATGAAACATCCCTGTGTAGCAGCAGACAGGAGCTGAATGAAGATCAATAGGGTTTTCCCCCCCTTGGAAGTAAATAGCTTCAGACAAGTAGCTTCCTGCCACCTGGGAGTGGCTGAGGGGCCTTAGAAAGCATTCAATTCAGGAGTTTGTGCCTCTCCACCTACCAGCCCAGCTGCTGCCAACAACCCCAGTCTCCACCTCCCCTTTCTCCATTGTGAGCTTAATTTCTTCTGGATGTGGGCCTCACACTGTGTTACATAGCTTTTTGACATCAGGGTGAACTCTGTGTGTGTGTGTGTGTGTGTGTGTGTGTGTGTGTGTGTGTGTGTCATTTAAGCAAGGTAAGATGAGAGAGATCAGAATTCTGGGCTGACAGGCCTCTCCAGGGGTTATG